AGGGAAACTGTGTTTGTAATGCAGTACAATCTGTATCTAACATAGATATATTAAGGACGTTTAGTTAAGTTTCATTTGAAACTGGATAATGCTCCATATTCTGATATTTCTAATAAAAGACAGGGTAGTGAGAGTCTGTGCTTTGTAACACAAAATAACAGGTCATCGGCATATGCTGCGATCTTGTGAGTTGTTCCTTTCCAATCAAAGCCAGCAATATCTTTATTACACCGAATAGAGCAAAGCAGTGGTTCCAAAGTCAAAGCAAACAACAAGGGTGATAGAGGACACACTTGTCTTGTGCCATTACATACGTGAAAGGGCTCGGTGAGTGCGCCATTCACCCAGACCCTTGCCGTTGGGTTACTGTATAGCATCCAAATCCATTGTAGAAGTTTCGGTCCAAAGCCCATTACCTGTAGTACTGCCTTCATAAATAACCACTTTCTCTGCGACCGTTGACAGGAAAAGCACCCAGTCTTTCTCTGTTTCTGCACCAAATATTGAATGGATACTACTCTGAGTGTGCTATCCCTTGCTTCCCATCCCAGTATGAACCCCTTCTGATCCAGATTGACCAATCTAGGTAAAAGCCTTCATGTTTTTGATAACTTTTTTGAGTTCTTCCATAATTGGACCTTCTATTGTTCTTACCTCTTCACGTGTGAGTTTCTAAATTGATAGATACCCTAAATGCCTTGATATTCAGGAGTTACCTTCCATCTCTCCGTCCCCTTTTTCACAGTGTTGCAAGCCATATAACTTGAAATAAAAGCTGTGAAATTCCTTAGCTATTTCAGTAGGGATTTGTGAAGTACCTCCATTACTCGGCTTTAGTTTATTGTCCTTTTAGTAATTGGGCGAGGTATTTCCCACCTTTATTAGTATGTAAATAATAAAAAATGCTCGAGCCTTGTATCTAGCGATAATGTCTTTGTGTAATAAACAATTGTAATTTCCTTCTGGCATTCATCAAATTTTTATAAACTCCATTGACCTGTGATCATTTATGTTGTTTTTCCAGTGTCGCGATCTCTGTTAAAAGTGCATTTAATATAAGATTTTCAAAAAAAATAAAAAAGTGCATTTAATTTTTGTTGAGTTTCCCATTCAAATGAACTGGCGTTTCAGGGCCTGCCAGGGCACAGTGTCACACCAGTGCAACTCATATCTGGTGTAACAGTAGTGTACATTTAAAAAAAAAAAAATACAATTTTGACTGTAATAGATTGAATAGCAGTTAGTTGTCTGCCAGCCTGTGTGTCAGGCTCACAGCGTATACTGTGCCCACTTGCCCAGTGCCACCACTCATATCCTGTGTCACAATAGCTTGCATTTAAAAAAACAAAACTTTTTTGACTGTAATATAATAGCAGTCAGTTTCCTTCACGAGTGTGCGTTTCAGGGCCTGCCCAGTGCCACCACTCACTCACTGGTGTCACAATAGCTTGCATTTAAAAAAACAAAAACTTTTTGGACTGTAATATTATAGCAGTCCGTTTCCTTCACGCGTGTGCGTTTCAGGGCCTGCCAGGGCACAGTGTCACACCAGTGCAACTCATATCTGGTGTAACAGTAGTGTACATTTTTTTTAAAATTTTGACTGTAATAGATTGAATAGCAGTTAGTTGTCTGCAAGCGTGTGTGTCAGGCCTACAGCGTCTACTCTGCCAACTTCTGCCACTGCACAGTGCTACTCATATCTGTTGTCACAGTAGCTTGCACGCATAGTACCACTAATCGAAAAAATAATGACAGGCAGAGGCAGGCCACCCCGCAGGGGCCGTCGTGGTCGTGGTGCTGTGATTCCCTTTGGCCCTAGAATAATGCCCAGTGTTCAGAGGCCACGTCCCCTGAACTCGAAAAGTTCTGAGGACATAGTTGACTGGCTAACACAGGACACCCAATCTTCTACAGCTTCCGCTCGGAACCTTGACGCACCATCCTCCTCCAGCTTAGCTTCTGGCATGTCACGTGGGTGCCCGCTAGAAGAGAAGAAGAACAGGGGGAAAGTTCAGATGGGGAGACAGAGAGGAGGAGGAGGAGACGAGTTGGAAGCAG